ACACACACACACACACACAGAGACCCCAGCTGGACGGACTAAGAGGTGTTGACGGAGAAAAGAGCCCTGCTGCAGCACTGATTAAATCCCCACTGTTATTCTCGCTCGCCCGTCTTTTTTCTCCTCTCCTGCTTTTCTTTCGATTGTTCTTTCATCTCTTCTCTTTTTATTTTCTCTGAAACTTTCAACAACAAAGTGACACACACTCTGAGCACACATGGATGTAAATGCAGCTGCTCCTCTTATAGCAGTAATGATTCCCCTAAATACACCAGCTGCTTTTCAATTACTGCTCCAGTGTGAGAGAGCGGTGAGGGATAGTTGAAGGTCCAGTCAGACCCGGGGTCAGAGCAGCTGATTAATAACCCTGCATACACGCTCGCTCTGAGCTGGGGTCAGTGTTTTGACGGAGTGTGTGGCTTCAGTCTCATCACAATCACGCTGTAATTACTTTGCATTACCGCAGGTTTATCTAGAATTCCTTCGCAGTACATCATTAACTAGAAATGTCTCTTCGTTTAGATCGTCGTTGCTCCGCGTTACAGCTGCTTTTACTTTATCAGCCAGAATTATGACGTTACAGTTTTCATTAACACCAAAATTGCATCTGAATGAGCCCGTAGGACACGCTGTTTACCACCCATGCTCTGTAAGGCTGTGAGCTCGTTTACATTATCACTTCTAATTACTTCATTACACTTCTCAGTCAAATTGGTTTTTGTTCAAGTTTTAGGCTTTCATAGCAGCTCATACGGGGAGTAACCTCACACGCACCAGGCCTTTGTGGCTGAAACACACAAAGTACGCATGCAGAGAGAAGTTTCATCTTCATCTCTCTGAATGAGGTGAGATGAAGAGTGGGAGAATCCTAAACGTCCTCCAGGAGCAGAGTAACATTTGTCTTTCTGTTGCAGATTGGCGAGATGCAGAATTGATGCGAGACATTGAGGCAGCAACAGGAGAGGACCTGGGTTCTGAGCGGCTGGGCGGTAAAAAAAGGAAAGGAAAGAAGAAGAAATACCCGCACCTCAGCGACCTGAAGCAGAGCAGCAACACGTCCCGCTGCAGACTAGAGAAGAAAGTCTTTAACAAGTACGAATGCTAACTTCAGCTTCTAGATGATTCTCTGAGTGT